GTAAGTAGTACACGTGTATTACTACTTTTAAATTTAATGTAAAGTAAGTTTATATATATATATATATATATATATATATTTATTTATTTATTTATTTATTTATTTATCTATATAATTATTTTTGCTATTTGTTGTATACTTAATGAAGTTAATTCATAAATGAAAACTTTTTAGCTCAGAATTGTGAAACTGAGTAATGTTATAAGTACATTATGAATATAGTCAGTGGAAGCTGGATATGTAGGTATGCTTTACAAATAGAAACTCCAGTGTTAAGGAAATCAATTTCTGAACATTTCAGATGGAAGGATCTGTAGCTATGAAGACAAAATAGCTGCCACTGCTCTACCTTGGAGACAATACTTTGGTGTAATATCAGATTGTTAATATATGTTTCATTGTTGGAAATGTTAAAGAGTAAATGTTTTTTAAACAAAATAAAAAAATTTATAGGTAACTTCTTGGCAACAACTAGGTCCTGTTAAGTAATAACCAAGTTAAATAAAACCATTTAAACATATCTAAAGAATTTGTTTTCAAGTACTTGCCTGGCATTTCAGGAGTTTTTTTTTTTGCTGTCATAGTAAGCTACTTGTGACATGTTTGGAAAGGCATTTATTATTTTTGTAAAACAACTAAGAACTGTTACTAACTGTTGTATAGGTAGTACCACTTTTATATGATATTTTACATCTTTGTAGCCAATAACATCACAACTGGTGTCATTGATACAGTCTACATTATTATTAAGACAGTATACACTATTGAATCTATATCTGCTGAAATAGCACCATTCATGTTATGACTATTTAATTTTCCAAACAAATGCCAACCTAGCACTATTTTAAAGACAGTTTATAATTTTTATCACATCTACTCAACTATTAACATTTTTAAGACAGTCTACAACTTTTGTCAAAACTGCAGATCTAGTGCCCCCCAGTAGCACAGCAGTATGTCTGCGGACTTACAATGCTAGAAACAGAGTTTCGATACCTGTTGTGGGCAGAGCACAGATAGCCCATTATGTAGCTTTTTGCATAATTACAAACAAGCAGATCTAGTACCATTTTTATTAAAACACTACAATTCCTTTTGCAACCAATGAACTAGTTAAAATAAGTAAATAACACACGACATTAAAATAGATACATAATTAAAATTGTTTTTTAATTCAGGCCAATCTGTGACCTCTAAGATGTGGACTCTACATTTTTCAATGTTTACCATGTTATCATCAGAAGTGAAATTGTGAGACATAAGTGTCATATTTATTCCTTCTTAGCTGGATCATGTGACTTGTGTGAAAGTTTAAATTTCAGAAGTCCCACCACACACAGGTATTTGCTGGACCTTTGTCTGTTTAATAATTCATGATCTTTTTAAACTTTATTATATGAATACAAGTTTTGTCAGAACAGTTGACCTAGTACCATTTTTAAGAAAACCAATATGTTTTTACCACCACCACCAACTGCTGGATATTTAACAATCTCTTTAATATATTAACAGTGTTTTTCGTGTATAATTTCTGCAGGTAAGTGCACAGTTTTCATCAATATTTGCTGAGCTACTTCAGTTCATTTCAGATAGTTTAAAAATGTCTCACTAGTTACTATTGAACATGTTTACAATAGTATGTACAATTTCTGAGCTACTACCTTTCCTGTTAAGACAGTTTACAGCTTTATCATTAAAAACTGATGAGTTGGAAACAACTTTTTTTATTTAATACTAGTGCTACTATTTGGATTTGTCAAACTTAAGATTTGCTACAAAGCCGCTAATGGAGTAGTACCATGTTAAAAATGTTCATGAAATTCTGTGTTTAAATAGTCAAGATTATAAATGTTTCACAGTAGTAGAGTTATTTGTCATTCTTCTTTAATCATTAAGTTTAATTTTTTTTTACTAATAGTCAGTGACTATTTTCTATTACTTTGTGGATGAAATTATTGTAATATCCTTTTATATTTACAGGTTCACTGGTAATTTTTCCCCTATTTTATTAGAAAACAATTTTTATGCTTTTCTGTGTGTTACTCTTAGTTCTGATATTCTTTAAGATCAATTTTAGCCTATAAATCTGTTCTAAATCTTAGACTAAGTTGACCATTTTTCCAACAGATTTGTCAAATTTCCTTTATACTGTTCTAGGATATCAGATACTAAAGCTGTGTTAGGATCAATTATATAATTATTCAATTTAAAGATGTAACTGTGGCTCTTAGGGTTTATAACACTAAAAATTTGGTTTTGATATCAATGGTGGGCATAGCACAAATAATCCATTATGTACCTATGTGCTTACAATGTACAAAAAGCAAAATTATTGGACTTCTGTATTATTATGATACACTTATTGAATACATTGGAGTAGGAAGATAAATGTGTAAGTATATAGCTTGTAAATGATAACATGCAACTTCCAGTGGTAATCATTAACTCACTATGTGTAGGGTAATTTCCTTGGCTACCTAGTTGAATAATATTGTAGATGGTACAAATGCAAAACATTTTACTATTGTCCTAACTCAAACTGTAGCTCAGTTGTAATTTTGTTTGATAAGTGTATGTCGTGAAAATTCTTCATGTTTTTAGATAAGCATAAATGTAAATGGATTATATTATCATTCAAAGACAACCCATTCCAAAGGCCAACTACTCTGTTAGAAAAATGAAACTATCTTAGTTGAAGATGACTCCTACCTTGCCAAAATTTATATTTGTGTCCCCTAGTCCTACTATTCTCACTGTTAAGTATGAAAAAAGAACACCTCAATCAGATTCCCTCTAATTATTCTTTTTCAAGAGAAAACAATTTGAGAGATTTCAATCTCTCCTCGTATGACAAACCATCCATCTTGGGCATCATTCCAGTAACCCTTTTGAACAATTCAATGTCTTTCCTAAGGTAAGGAGCCCAAGACTGAATACAATACTCTAAATGTGGCCTAACTAGTGACCTGTACAATGAAATTATAACCTCTTTAGACTTGTATTCAATATTTCTATAGATACAACCTAAAATCCTATTTGCCCTATCACTAGCAACAGCACACTGCTTAGATGGCTTTACAGACTGACTATTACACCAAGATTCCTTTCCTTCATAACACTTAAGTTTATTCCCATCCAAATTAAACATATAATTCAAATTATGATAACCCACATGCATTATCTTGTATTTATTATAATTGAAACCCACCTGCCATTTATTTGCCCAACTCATTAAATGATCTAAATCCTATTGTAAATCAGCAGCATCCTCTTCACAGCTAGCAACATCCAAGACCTAAATATCAACAAATTTAAGTAATTTATTGACTATTCCTTCATCTATGTCATTGATGTAAATCAAAGAG